TATAAAAGCTTGACTAGCTTTATGTATGTCTGTCATATAATACTTTTTATTATTTCTATCTCATATTTAAAATATATATGCTTCATTTGAGCAGAAAGCTAAATATATATTGTAAGGCAAATATATACATATATATGTGTGTATATATGTTATGTATAATATATATTATTTTCTTCATACAATTGCCTATCAGTGTTTTATATTTATCTGTAGAATAAATTCCTATATATATAATAAAATACCTGTAATATTTTATCTCTTATTGCTAATCTCTTGTTTCTTTGTGTGCAAATATCATTCAGCAGTTTTATTTCATCACTTGCCATATAGTGTGTGGTTTTTGTATAGCTAATATTTGCTGCTGTTGCCGTGAGTTGTCTGTCTGCTTCTAGGTAAAATGGCAAATCAAACAATGCCAAGTACACACACACACACACATGTTTCTCCCTGCCAATGCTTGTATGTGTGTATTTGTGCTTGGGCACTTTGTTTGGCTGGGTAAATGTAGCAGAAATCGTATTTAAGTGAATTCATGCTGAAATCTTAGTTAATTTTTATGGCAAATATGTTAAGCTAACAAAGAGCAGCAAGAACAGATTGTGAGCTGCTTACAGACATGTGTTTCTCAGCCATTGTCTGTTGACAGGTCTAAGCTCTGCGGCTTTCACATACTAATTGAAGGCTAAGTAACTTAAATTGCTGTACAACGGGTCAGTCAACATGTCTGTGATTAAGTAAAGCGATTTAAAAATATATAAAATACGAAATGCAAAATGCAGTTGATGTTCTACGTAGCGTATACTTAATAGTATATACATTACTTACACGTATCTTCTATTGCAACTACTAGCTTAAGCAATATCATATCATAAATAATCCAAAAGACCTGCATGCAGAATATTCGTGTTCTTATTGCGCAAAGGTCGCATTGTCATGTCTAAAAATTTATAGCTCGCAATTCAAATGGTTTTTTATTCTTTTATTTTTTGTTGCATTTTTTTTTATTGGGTTTTTGGCTAACGAAGAAAATAGATAACTCATAGCACACGTTTGGGCGCCAGAGCCAATTTCTGTCAAATGATATGTTGCTTACCTCTATGGTCTAAATTCCTCTTATTTTGTTGTCGCTGTTTGTTTTGTTCTCTATTTTGATTATTATTGGATTGCATTGTTATGCAATGGAAGTCATTTGTGCACGACTGTGGGCGTGACAGACGATGACGATTGTGTTTGACAATTGCGTGCCCAAAAATAGCAAAAAATTCTTATTGGATTTCAAAAGACATTGAGGAGGAAATATGGACATGCCGTGTCATAGCATTTTATATGCTCTACAAGTCTATTGATTTGTTATGACGACAAACTGACAACGGCGAAGAGCTCAAAGAGGCGTGTGTTCGCTGCTATAACAACAATGTCTATCATTCATTTATATAAGCCATAAGCAAAGAAGAAGAAGAAAAAAAAGAAATGAACAAATTTTTTGCCCATAAACGACAGGAACATCGTCAAGTGTTGCCATGGCCATTGTTGTCGCTGCTCCTGTTATTATTGTCGTCGTATTGGCTGGCGTTGCTGCTGCTGCTGCTGGTGCTCTTCTTGTTGACATTTTCATTAGCAAATTAATTTTAATTGATTACATTTTATGCGCCAATGTGTAGACGGCAGCAGTTCGTGCTCTTCGATATATTGAATTACCATTTTATTTATAACCTTGCTGGCTTTTTATTCAGTTTCTCACTACTTGCCATCAATTTGGTTGGCAATAATGTGATATTATTAGCTGATTTCATTTGTGGGCAGACACAATTTCATTAACGGTAACCTGAGAGTGTACCAGAAATTGTGAGTGCTCAATGCGTTCCTTGAAAAACCAATTTGCGCTCAATTTTCACAGCCTCGCAAAATATGAGCGTGAGACTATTTGGGTAATGAAAATGGAGTACAGCAGGGCAAGTGCTCAAGGAGGTGCTTGGTAGCTTCCAGTTTAATTTGATGAATAAGTTTTGTCGAATGTGAATAGTTTGTGCAGCTAATATTATATATGTATATAGTATATAACGGTACATTTTGTTGATGGAATACAAAGTTTATTTAGCTAACAGTTTCAATTGAAACTTCATAAATAATTCATAACTGAAAGTAATTGATAGGTATACATAATTTATTTCTAGGAACTACAAGCTCAATAATACTTATTCACAGCTAAACTCATTATTTTCTGTATTGCCACGCCCCAATGCACACTGCATATGATTAATGAGCTATTCGTAGAGAGTACGTCACAATCATAGCTTTATGATTGTTGAATATATAGGTTTTGTATCAATTTACAGAGCAAATAAAATACAATGAACTGATTAGGTTTCGCTCACTATAAGCCTTGCCTATCTGGTGGCTATTTATAATGCTATAAAACAATTATTCGTAATATATTATAATTAATTATTATTTTTCTATTTCTATTTAATGCTCATATTCAACAATACGCTTTGTTAAATCTTTTTAATTAATATTTATATAGTAATTATAGCATTCCATTGAGCATGGTCTGGTATGGTCCCCTTCCTACGAAATGCCAAACCGACTATCTAATTTTTGTTGATTTGTTGTGTATAAGGGAAGAGTATTACCAAGCCACATTTCGGCTTCTGCTTTTTCTATTCGTCAACAGTTTTTTTAATTAAAAAA